TTCGTAAAGATCAAGTTGAAGGAAAACCATACATAATAGCATTCTCTAACGTTTTAGTGAGTATTGGTACAATAACATCTACTCCTCACTTCAAAAGTTCAAAAGAAAGAACATCCAAATTTTCTAATTTACCATATGCTTATTTTCTGACTTTAGTCATCACCTCTGATTCAAAAAATACGCTAGGTATCACTTCACAACAAGATGTTGATGCATCGTAGAGAAAAAAATAAAGCTTTTCAACGAAGATAATCAAACTCTTGAAATCAAGAGTAGGTTTAGAAGACTCTACTGCTAATCGTTTCCAAAAGATCTGGAACTTTTCATCAACTTCTTTGTCAAGGATTCTTTCTTTCTTATAAAAAAAGCTCGTTTCTTAGACTTTATCAAGTCTTTGTAAAGCCTTGTCAAGATAAGTCGGCTTTGGAAATCCAAAGACTTGTCAACCGATGTCATCCTCGCTTGCTTGCAATCAAAGTCAAAACATCCATTGCAAGGAAAATCCCTAGTTCTTTGATCCTTGTGTAGCAAAAAGAACTTAAAAGTAGTGTTTTTGAGCAACTCTCTTAGTTATTACTCGCTGTATGTGGATCAAGGCTCCATGAAGTGTGCATCAAAAGGTTTTGAATATGTAGCATGTATAGATCTTTCTTACTAGGATTTAAACAAAACTTGGGGAAAGTTATAACAGAATGGTCTGAAGAGAGAAGAATTGTTTTTTACAAGAGAGTAATTAAGAGATGTGCATGATCTGATTCTAGCTGAGTATCTAGAATATCAAATTTTGAAATAAAAGAGTTAGTAGTGACCGAGGTTAGAAGAAAATCAATATTGTCAACGGCTATAGAAGAAAAGCACATATTGGAAGGTGAGTTGGGAAAAAAAGAGATTACGTTAAGAACTTTCAAATTACTTGTGGCTCCAAAAGTTAAAAATTATTATGTCAAAGAATTTGTAAAAGTATCAGAAGAAATTTTAGACCACATACTATCTTCAAGTTCTTCAAGGGAGGTAGAAGTCAAGATATCATCAACTTGGGTAATATTGTGCATAAAGTATTTGAACATTAAAATCTTCATTGAAAAACTTCATCTTTGCTCTAATAATTGAGATCATCTACTATAAATCAATGGAATGATTGACTCCAATTGTAATTGCGTGTACATAGACATGAACAATGGTGCAAAGTAACAAACAGCCAAATAATTATAAAATCATCTAGTACATCCAAGATGAAGCCAATGATATTGAACTCCAATATCCTGAACTTTGAGATGTATTAGAGGTAGAAATTGAGACTTGATGAAAGTAGCAATACCAGCATAGACTTTTACTGCTTGTTGACTTCTATGATTCCAAGTGGATCCCACCAAAGTAAACTCAAGTATCTCTCCAAAATTTTTGCTCTCATGATCCCACTTCTCCAAAACGTTGAAGATGTTTGACATCTTTCAAATTGGATTAGCACTCACATACTTTGTTGTAAAAAGATTTTTTATATTCCACATTAACATCCTCAAGCTCTTGGATTGCAAGATTGATGATTGTCTTTTTTGTTGAGTATAATTGCTTATCCATCACAAAGATAAGCAAAAAAAAATTACATTTGAGCTTCTTTGACTTTTGAAAGCTACTTTTTCCTTGATTCTACTTGTAGAGTTGTAAGATCAATATCAAACCAAATTCTACGTCCTTTGAGAACGACTTTGTTGACTAAAGGCAAATCACGTTGAGTTTGATCATCAAACTTAACTATAATGGCACGAGGTTGGGTTCTTATGTTTCCAATGCAAAAAGCTTGAGCTAACACGGCTTAAGCTAAATTCGGATTATGAACATCAAGTGTTTCAGCCAAAATTTTGATGACAACATTCTTCAACTCTTTCTTCTTAGATTCAAGTATACTAGAAATTCTCATATTCTTTCTACAAGCAAATTGATTTAACTTTTCAATCTCTTGCTCTTGACAGAAAGAGATATGAGCAGAATTGATAGCTTCAGCATAAGATTTCATTTTCACCACTAGACTTTCAACCACTTCATGCGATCCAGGAGTAGCAACAGTTGAAGCTTGAAAACTAACCTTATCTTGAATGTACTTAACATGTTCAAAAATATCAAGCATGATATTCTCAAAACTTTTATGAGATAGCTTCAACTCACAATTTCATATTAAGCAGCATTCAAAGTAGCATTTTATAACTTGATTTCTTAAGTATTCACTTTCAATTCTTCCAAAACCGTTTGCAGAAGATTGAATATCATATTGTCTTGAGAAGTAATCATGTAAATGCTTCTTAACAACTTGAGATTGAAAGATGTTTCAACTTCGTCCTTGGAATTGCGTTTGCTCTAAAATTTTGTAGGCTTATGCGCCGTGTTCAAGTCTAAGCTCCCACAAAGTTTCAAGTCCACTGCCCATCTGAGCTCAAAAAAAACAATTTCCGTAAGAATCAACTCTACTTCCGTCAAATCTTGAAACTCAAAAATCAATGCACTCTATTTTTGAAACTCCGTTGAACCTGCAAATTTGCATTGGATAAGTTCATTAAGGAGTAGTTTTTGAGCATCTCTACAATTTCCAAGGATTGAACATCACCGATCCGTCCATGGACCATGAGCTCGCTGCAATGCTCAAGGTCCAGTGCCCTCCAACCAAGCCCATCAGATTCATGGCTTTGGATGACACCAATGGCACCTTCTACTCCGCGTACTTCTTGGATCTGTTGACAAACAAAGGCTTGTTGGAGTCAGACGTGGCGCTCTTGAGCTACCCTTTGGGCGTGATTTTTGCCTAAAAATTTGCACCTCAAAGCGCACTGCCGAATCTCACGCTGTCATGAAATTTTGAACCCTGTTCACACTCCTGTCCGAAGATTTGGCCTCGGCAAGATTTGATCTCCACTCTCAAAAACCCAAACCTCAAAGATTTCTCAACTTTGTACTCGGTATTGCATTTGCTCTGAAATTTTCCAGGCTTGTGTGCCCTGTCCAAGTCCAAGCTCTCACAAAATTTCAGGTCCATTGGACACCCGAGCTCAAAGGAACAGCTTCCGGAAGAATCAACTCTACTCTCCTCAAATTTTGAAACTCAAAATTCAAAAAACCTATGTATACATTAAGTCGCAATAGAATATTGAATATACAGCAATAATATCGCAAATTATCATGCACATTTCAAGATCTGAAATACCATGACCAACTATTTCAAACTATCTATAAGTAGCAAAATTATTCTATGTGTAACAATACTTATTGCTATTTTTGTAAAATAATTCAACTTGTAGTCTGAAAAGTGTGAGTGAAATGATAATATGTCGTGGTAGTCTATTGAGCTCTCTCATATAATTTACTTAAGAGATAATATATCTGAACTAGATAAAAGGCCTTATATGGAATAGGCGCTCTACCACCAATATTGTCTTGAATTCACAAATTTCTATGAAGCCCGACATATAGACTTAAAAATGGGAGTATACTATAAAAGTGTAGAAGGAAGAAACCAATTTCACCAAGGTGTTTTCATATTCTGGAAATAAGATAGTTGACAGGTAAGTGGTTGAAGGGCAGGTATTGACATCGTGCTTTACGAAATAGATACACCCTCCATGTCGAACTTTCCCATTCTTTGACGACGGGAAGAAGCCAAATGTGCTGATATCATGCGGACACCAGAACATTTCGAAATACATATGCTATTTGTCATCCACTCGTTGCTGACTAGCTCACGTGACTCAACCAATTCGTAGTCACGAGTCACTGTATGAATGTTCCTTCAAGCGATTTATTGAAGAGGAAAGTAGCAGACCAAGCCTCTACAACTAAGTTTTGACTTGACGTACATTGCCATTCAGACGAGGAAAGGTCGTTGCTGTACGTTCCGGTCTATCTACTTCCCGTATGTATGTTCTAGTATATGTCTCATTGCAACCGCGATGATGTCAGAATTCGCCCCAAGAAGAACATTTCTGTACGTCATTGGGCTTGTTGGCTGGTGAGAAGGTCGAGTCCCAGCAGCTGCGCCGTCTTATAAATACTACAGCCAAGGGCTTGGAATAGCACGCTTGAGCTCCAGAACATGTAACTGAGCTGAGCTGACCTGAGACAGATCAGTTCGATGCTATCACTGCAAGGTTGCCACCGTGAGCAAGCGACAGTGAGGTCATGGCAACATAGCTTGCACGTGCACTGGTGACATCTCCTGTGCGACGCTCACAACATGATAAAGGTGTACATGTACGCCAACGTAGAACAAGATGTAGGTTTTGTTACTCTCAGAATATGTCAACGCCACGGAAGTGCCCATAACTTACTGTGCTGGACTCTCTGGTTACCAATATTTGGTGAAGATTCTTGAGCTGTTACGTAGTGGGGGGAAGGAAGGGCTCCACTAATGTCCATCTGGAAAGATTTCCCAGCCTGGAGACTACATCGACGGAAGACTGACAGAAAGTCAATACTACCGATGATATATACGTACTCCTGGACTTTGGTGAGGCTCGTGACTCATATGATTTGCGAATCTAGAAAGTTGCCCTTGCCTTTAACAACATTGGTACCATCTTTTACAGCTGTGAATGTTTCAGCTTACGGTAAGGCCTCCGGATATCATAATCCGAGGACAAAGACTGTAGCTTAGCTTGTGACTTAAAGCAAAATACTAGTCAACTGCATCGACGTCGGGCTATGGGAAATGCTTGTTTGGAGGATGAGAGACATCTGAGGTACGTACAATCGTCAGTCCTAGCAGCTAAAAGTGCTGAATACCCATCATCGAGCGGTCTCGCTCTATACAGAGCGTACCCAGTAAATCGCAATTTGACCTCACATGCCCGAAAAGTTTTGTCGGGTACGTTGGCTTAATATCTGTTGCTGGACTGAAGAATCTGCTTGGCATTCCATGCAGAATTCAGTGGACACAAGCTGCTGCTGTCTTGAAGAGTGGCTGATTATGTATGGGATGGCTGCTTGCAGCCGTCCCATACACATTCATGCATGTCCGCGATCTTGCAATCGCTTGTACTAACACTATCACGGATGTTGTGGTCTTAGTATCAACTCTCTGCAAGGAGCATTGCATGTGGACCTGAGCTGGGTTCTCGAACTCACTGTCTCAGTATAAAGAAGCTCAGTTTCACCAGATGAACATAAGTACGTAGATCGTACCTGCACCTCCATGCATAGACTCAGGTTTTCACGTCCTCATTCACGTTGCCAGTTCCTGGACTGAACGCAGCCCAGAATGTACACTTCGTTACTATGAATGCAACGGAAGATCTAGAGGGGACTTCGTTATTCCTTTAGATAGATCCTTGCTGTCTGAAGGCTTGTTAACTAAATTGGTCAGTATTTTGCATGCGCACGTTTATATTTGAAAGTGCAACGCAACATTGAGGGCCTGTCAGGCGGCAACCGGGTCTGGCAACACACAATCATGTCAGTTTTTAAACGGCGGATTTCGCTGCCGTAAGGGCCTGACAGTTCTGGCGAGCTCCTCGTGTCCGCGGAGCCTGGTAGACAGATAGTTCTTGACTGCCAAAATCTCGCCCTCCATGGACCTTCTCGGAACGCCCAGGAAATGACCAACTATTTTTAACAAGATTCATTTGTTCAAGAATTTATCAGTAAAACCAGCTAGTTCCCTTTGACCCAGCGTCGTCGTATGATATATGGTTCCTCTTAGGTCAGGAACGATCATTGTGGACTATTTGACCTCAGAAGTTTTATTGAGAAAAGCGTTCTTCTCTGGACGAGGAGCTGTATACAAAGGACAGGCTTCAGACAGCTAATTCAGGTCCTTGCACCAGAACAGTTCCTCCGAACCAAAATATATTGCCATGGCGGTCTCTCAGATCGTACTAGGCATTTTGGGTAAGTACGTCAAGTAATGCTGACGCTTATGACTGGATTTCTGCTTTCGGGTCTAATTGACCATTGTAGTTTAGTCTCCTTGAATTGGAAACAGAGATTAAATACACAAATGACTTCACATTACTTTCGGCTCAAATTTTGTAGCTGGAGCGAAGGTTATTCTTTCCACGCTATGCCGACGTTGATGTAGTGTGGTAGCGAGTTGACTCTTGTAAGTGACAAGCATGGAATTGTATGGAAAATAATTGCCCAAAGATCCATGCTTCCCGATATCTCGCAGTGGCCTCAGAACATTCAACCTGGGAGTTGATGGCTGGTACATGATCAGACTTTGTTTGATACTCTAACTATATAAATGCTTCCGCTTCTTCTCAGGGAATATTATTGCGAGCGTCTTCTTCGTATCTCCAGTGTAAGCATGCCAAAATACCTTTCTCTACATTTCTCTCATTTGATTAACTCCTTGAATGCCCATGTCTGAGTGAAGACGGCCAATAAACTGCCTTTTGCGTGAAATAGGTACTAGCAGATCTAATTGGTCATGGAGTTTTACAATATGCTCAATTGAAACTTCACAAGTCGTTTGAATTCCTGTCCTATATGATTAACGTGACGTAAGATTTGACTGAGAGCTGAAGCGTACATGTCGACAGTTTAACATTCTGGAGAATTTGGAGGAAGAAGACAGTGGAAGATTTCTCTGGCCTTCCATACCTCGGTTGTTTCTTCAATTGTGCTGCATGGACATTCTACGGTCTGCCTTTGGTCATCGAAGGGGGAACACTGGTTGTCACCATCAATGGTGCAGGAGCAGCTTTATTCTTTACGTTTGTGCTCATATTCCTCATCTTTTCTAGAGGCAAGGAAAGGGTATGTATGCCTCTGTTTCTGAATTTTATTGTTAATACCAGTACTTGCAGGATACGGTGTGCTATGAACATTGACATATGCCGCAGTTTTTCAAGAGTGCTCACTGAGCATAGATCTGCGTCCTTGAATCAGTTGAAGGTTGGGACGCTTTTCGTGGCAGTTATCGCTTTCCTGGTAGTCTTGATTGTCGTAACGCTAACGACAGTTCGACAAAACCAGCGAAAGACGGTGGTCGGGTCAACAGCCCTGGCGATCAACATTATCATGTACTCTGCTCCACTATCCAACACGGTAATACACATCCTCAACTTCATAATTTGTCAATGAGTTTGTACTGGATAAGGATTTTCAGAGCATATATATGGAATCATCAACTACTGAGCATATCCATGTAATTAAATCAGAGCTGGTCGTTCACTAAGCCTACGGTGATGAGCGATCGAAGTTCTCTTCAAAGGTGTCAGGCAACTCTGCCTCATATTAGCTTGTAGTCAAGGGATTACATGTCTACCATCATGACTCCCTAGGGGGGCATCAAGAAGATCCGGTCATGTTTTTAAGCACAGCATGAGAATGTCCCTTTGTTTTAATTCTGTCCTGCGACATACGGAGTAAGAGCTTCCCAGTTCTTGATGACGAGACGTATCTTGTGCCTCGATATTAAACGTCGACATGAGTATTTACTTCTGCAGCTCATAGACTGCTAGAACCTTCACGTTAATTTTCCCTCAGGCTCACTCTAATTACCGTCCAAGTGCAAGAATACAGTCATTGTGGAGTTTCTGACATGACACAATTGATTCGTATGTGGGTCTCGATTCAATGCAGATCGCAATGAGGATTTGAATTCTGAATAGGCATTAAATTTGACATAGACGTGTTTTTCTTAGACTACTATACAGAATACAGAAACTACCGAGAGCAGGCCTTTTGATGAGATCTTGGATAAATGATGTTGCAGAAACTGGTGATTAAAACCCGTAGTGTGGAGTTCTTGCCCTTTTTTTTCACACTAATGTCATTCATCAATCCAGTCGTTTGGACAGCTTATGCAGCAGTTACAAGTGATTTATTCATCATGGTAAGCTCCCGTCACACCTCTCCAATATACCCTATTGTGTCTGGTGAACTTGGCAACTACTCTGAAGCATGTGAAACGAGATGATTGAGTACGGGTTTCATAGTTTATACTTTTATGGAAGTAAGGCTCTTCTAACAAGATTTTCCAACATAAAATTGGAATTCGTATCATTCTGAGTTGTTCGGGAAGTGAAGATTTAATCTGATTGGCTCCTGGTATGCTCATACTTGCCGCAGATTCCAAATGCAATTGGAATAGCTCTTGGTAGTTTCAACCTGCTGTTGTACGGGATCTTTCACAAATCCAAGCCAAAACAAAAGCCAAAAGTTGAAGACAAGCAAGTTGAGAACATCAACTTGAAAGAGCAGCTGAAGCATTCCGCTGACTCGGATGGAACCACTGCTCCAGCTACAGAAACCGATGCAAAAAAGCAAATCGTTGACTCATCTGCGTGACAAAGTTGCATGCAGGGTGGGGAGATTTTTTCTAATGAAGACCTTCCATCTGATGGCTTGAAGAGATGAGCAAAGAGCTAAGAGCTCTAGTATATCTCTGCAGCTTTCTGTAACAATGTACATAGATTTGAAGGGTGAGAGACTGGTCGAAGACTGATCATGAATTATGGAGTGGACGTCCGTCCCTCTCTTTCTTCTCCTCATCAATCCATTAGACAGATGAGCTCAGAGCTTCATAATACTCTTGCAACGGTGTGCCGGATTACCAGAATCCCACTGAGCTCAAGTTCCTTGAGATGGTAGAAGTGTGATTTGGACGGAGACCGAGTTCACACTGATACTGCCTGTCACGTTTTATTAGTGTCTCAACCCCAATTCCGGCTACGGTGAATTTTGCGAACAACGAGCACAATAATCAAGAATCATGCTTTTGCAAATCTCAAGCGGAACCGGATTTTGTGTTTCATTTTCGTTCTCCTAATTCTCAACCCCGATTAGGAGTTTTTTCCATTTTCAAACTTTATGAAACTCATATACGGTTGCTTTCTGTTTTAATTAGTTGCTAAGAATAAGATTAGCGTCAATATGGTCATATTGATACTGAATACTGTGAATTATGTTTGAGATAATTTTGAGAGCTAAGCCCACAAGTGACTTTGTGTTAAATACACAATAGATTTCTCATGAATATTATAAACAGCTTGTGCACACTTGATTAAATTTTTCATGAATGGAATTAACATAACATTATAAACTGAAATATATTCAAATTGACATGAATCATTTAGCATTGACTAGACTTTAATTCAAAATTACGCAACGGCTCCATATGTTCTAATTATCGAGTTTGTCAATATGTTTGCTATGTTAACATTTTATTCAAGAACTCTCATATTTATTTGCAAATCCGTAGGCAAATAGCATTTTAAACGTTGATAAGTGGCACAATACTTTGGAACTGAAACATTGTATTTGAAAAAATATAGACTTGAAGCTGGAATTAATCTAGATTCAAAAGATAAGGGCTAGAATTCTGAGAGTATAATACACGATGGTAACAGAAATTTATTGATATTGAATAATAAATGTTTTTGAAACTGTTGAATACATGTGGATTGGAAGAAACAATAGGTACTATTAAATATTTTAGGCCTATATCTTTTGAGGGAAGATCTTTACAAAGTTGTAAGATATAAATTCTGCGTAAACATTGATCATCAAATATATATATATATATATATATATATTTCAGGAGCTGATAGATTTCTCAAAAATAAATAATTTTTTTTGTTTTTTTGAACTGGATTCCAATAATTCTCGCAACTATTCGCAAAGAGAATAAACGGCAGTCGCTGTTAAATTTGGGACCATATTTTCTTGAAATATTAAAAACGACGGTTTTCAGCTTTCTCCATATTAAAATTTTGATGGTTTTAAGATTAAATGTTTTCATTGTACATTATCTTGCTGAAGATAATTTACAACACTTCCAAATCCTAGAAGTTCTTCTAGCTTCATTAACCTCATGTTAGATTCATAATTCATTATTCTTTGCAAATCAAGGTAGGGAACGAAGGAGTTGGATATTTGTACAAGGCAGATAATCCATGAAATCTTTGCACTGCAAAAGCATGAAAGGTCCTTTCCAAGTCTCGGCCGCAAGTTGGGGTCGGTCTTTGACCCCAACTTGTGAATGTTGTGGAGAAGTTCGCCTTTTTTCGGGATAAACGACTTCGCAGTATGGTCACTCGCTTCGATACTTTCTCTCAAGTGCTTTTCATGGGCTAACAAGGTCCAAAGAGCAAGAATTTGGCAGACAAGAATAATAGGGACATTCACATGATTGTGTGGGCCTATGTTCATTCTTTGCTCAAAAGATTTCTAAGCCAGCATGCTTCCTCATTTGACCTGGCGTTGCCATATAACAAATGGCTGCGTCATGGTGGATGATATTCACATGAGTGACCTTGGCAATTCAGAGTGTACAGTGAGACGAGACAACTGACAAACTGTCGTTACGTATATGATATGATACCGCCCGAAGTGTCCTGAGCTTAACGCTAATGTTCAAAAGGTTTGTCAGGACAGGAGCATGAGATCTTTCTGTAGCTGATAAAGCAACGCCGGTGAAGAACAACAAAGGACAAAGTCGAGAAGTCAGTGAGTAATCTCCTAGTGAAGTAAACGAAAACGTCTCGACTGATCTGATACTCCGTATTCTGAGATGAAGGTGGACTCAAGACGAGATCCATGTGCCTTAGAGGCCGTAAGCCAATTGTAGCTTGTAACCTATCCAACAGGTGGTGATTCGAGACGTGTAGGCTCAGCAACATGGGTTGTCCTCCACACAAGACTTTTACTTCCGAAAAGCAGATGTCAGCTGAATGTGAATGTGAATTCCGATAGACAGGGGACAATAATACACCCCTAAACAAGGCTGACAATCAATATACACTCAATATGCCCAGCTTCATCAAGTTTCAGATTTCATATCAATCTCATATCCCGCTTCCCGGGTATCTAAAATCAGTGTACAAACCCAGGTGCTGGTGCTGACTAAATCACTTCAAAAGAAAGTATTGATCTTTCGTCAGGCTGCTTACGAACCACGCAACGTAGACGTCAAGTCACTATCAAGCCATCACAGATATAGAATTAGCCGTTAAAATGTCAAGGAGCTATGTGAGGCCACCGTTTGACGCGAGCAGTTTTTAATATATTGTTGGAGTAGCACATCCAATTGACAGAAACCCAACGACAAAACTGGATAAATTTCCCAAGACGGTAACTCCAAAGAACTCAACAGCCTTATTCTTATTGCATTCATAACTCATGAGAAGTTTGTTAAATGCAAAGAAACAGCATTAAGTACCATCGTTTGCATGACATGTGGGGAAGTACACAGTGTACTCTTACTGTATCCAGGATAAGTACTAGGATCAAAATTTCAAATTTTACTCAGTCCTTCGAGGAAGTTTATTTCCTTACTATACTATTATCGTTTATATCTGGTTCCATGAGTTAGGATACCTATTAGAGCCTACTTCTACAAATTATAAGGAGCCCATAATCCGTAATCAACTGAAGGCTCTCGTCTTTCTACTGTGCCTTCAAGGATACATGGACAAAAGAATGGTCGGAGCCTTTATCCATCATATCACTTCACATGATTTGGAGATACTGATAAGGTGAAGGAGAATGGCATGCACATGAAGGCTTCGGGTCCGACAAAGAACATCCAAGACTAGACTAACTCTACACTGACAAGACTTCCCTTGGCATCACTTGACCTGAGAAATGCCTCCACAACGGCCACGTCGAACACTGCTTCTGAAACTGAGCTTCGAGGATCGGCTTCACTTGCAGTCTTCACCTACAAGTGCACATTTACAAGCCACATACAAGACTTACTTTGGGATTTCAATGACATTTCAATGACAGATAACTGTGATAAATTCGTCAACATCAGTATGCTATTTTGTAAATCTAAAGCTGGCTGAAACTTCGAGTCTTAGTGACGGATTACTACCCCAGAGACCACTTTCGAAACATCCAATGCAAACGCTTTGATCTCATCTTGCACTCCTGAAAAGGCAGCGAAGAACTTCTTGGCCTTTCCTTCCTGAGGGAAGTACTGAACCTGCGTCACCATCCGCAACTCCATATCACTTTAATGCTTTCAAGGATACTGATAAATATGTTGATACCCACAGCGTTTTGAGAAATAAGAAGTTTTAGACATCAATATCCCGAGAATGAGTCGGTAATTATGTATATCCAGGAATTTTGCTGGTACTAATGTTTAAGCCCTTACCAGATAACCATGTTTACCATCTTGTACACTGCGCTCAACATCTACGGTACCCTTCGAGCAAAGTACTCGCCAATTAATCTGTTCACATTAAACCATTAACAGTTAAAACCTCCACCACGCTCTGAGAACCCTTCGGAAAATATGTTACAAATGTCGACTCGTAACGTGTCAACATTGGAAAAGTAAGAATATCGCATTTGGAGGCAGTATGAAGAAAGCATTACTGATGTATTACTATCAAAAGCGACGAGATCGAAGTTAGAGAACCTTTTTGGTAACAGCAGAAAAAGACATCACTAGTGTTCCGGTGCATCCATTATCCATTTGGCTGCACAGATCCATTCGAAACGTCAGAACTTCTACACTGAGGTGTTTCAGTACATAGATCCAATTCGAAATAACAGAGACGGTCGCCTACAAGATCGTGTTGATCTTGATCAATATACCATGTTGATCGTCACCGTCTGTCGCAGTTCACAATCATGACAGATCAAAGCACAAGTGATGCAAGTTGATTGTCGAGATTGCCTTTATTTCGAAACTTGCAACATGTGTCTTACTTTTAAAAAAAATGGCATTTTGCATGCCGATTAAAGCAATCGAAACCCAAGAAGCCCAAGAAAAATTGAAGCAGTTTTCATTTTGACTCTTTGATCACGTAAAAGGAAGTCATCTGAAAAAGGATGGCCAGGACTTACAACAGCGCCGACACATTGTCGGGAGGAGGCAGATTCGGTTCAAGATGTTGCGCAATAGCTGATGTTGATGTGACTTCGGCTCCACATATCTAGTCACACTCATGTTGTGCAGAGGAACATCAGATGTGCAGCTTGACTAGTTACTCAAAAGTATGTAATTACAGCTTTCCAAGTGGCTTTCACAACCGAAAATGAGTATTCCTATTTACTTGAGTGTGAAGAACTACAAAAAGGACGCATCAACTTTTCTCTCTGCATTACAAAAGTTACCAGAAGTGGCAAGAATTGGATGTGTCACGGAAGGGATGATAAAGTTAAATACCAGCCGCAGACCTGCAACAAAATGCACTCCTCCGTCTAGCACAAATGCTCCCTGTATATTTGAACAGAAGAGTAAGTGAAGAGAGCATGATTGATTGTCATTATAGGAAAGAAGTCAACATGGTTCAAATGATACCTCAGAACGTTGAACATTTGAGCCTATTGTGAGAGTTACATCACCTGAAGAGTGTTCACAAGCTACTTTAATGATAACTTTACTAAGTAAAGTCAGGATAAAAGTCAAAATTTCAAATGAGCAGCCTAAGAGCTATTTTCAAGAGTTTGATGAATCCTAAGCTTTACCTTCAATCCCGGGTCCCGACGCCAGGCGCTTGAAAAGTATGGATTCGTACTGTTCATAGCAGCCTCGGCAGTGACTTGAACAGAGTAAACAGATCCAGCCTCCTTCACCCACTTTGCAGCCTGCCGCAGATTTCAAAATATGTTGCTTATGTCAAAAGTTGTGCAGGCTTTCCCACAAATGCAGCTTCAAAACGTTCGAAAAAGAGCAGGCAGTCTAAACTGCTGCTCAGAGAATTCTTAAATTCGCCACGAGTGGAGTGCAAGCTTTAATTCGTAGTAGATGTCCAACAATGAAGATGAAAGACACCTTACCTCCATAAGTGAAGGCTCAAATCGGTAGTTCTCAGCCACGGCCCAGATAGGTGGTTGCACTCCACTCGTGGCGATTTCATAATACTGCTGAAGGGCACCTCGAAGTTCAGCCACACCTGTACATGACATTCATAGTTAGAAGAGGCACTAATGATCTTGAATATGAATTTTCCACTTCTCAAAAAACAGGACTAAATCGGTAAGTATGGAAGTGTTGAGTAAGGAATAAGAAAATAAAAGGATAAAGGACAAAGAGACGCGTTCACGAAGATCCAAAATATAACTTGACAAACGAGCGGGGTTAAAGCAAAAACGGAGCAGATGTTTCTAGTTGGAGGTCTCAGGTTTACATATAATTAGATGGTTCACAATGTGTGATACGTCCAGCTGAAAACTTTACAAACTTCTATATTTTGTGCCCACAGGCCCATGGAGCAATTTGTCTCAAGGAGAGGCAGATAAGTCTCAGGAAACTTACTTGTACCAACAGGCTTTTCTTCAACATCCACCCCAAATATTGAAGTTATTTCAGAAGCACAAAGATAGAAAAAAAGTAATTAGTGCGGTGCAGAAAATGAATGCAGCAACTCAGAGATAAGCAATTTCACCTACTGCCCGTCCATTCCACTGCAGTTAATATCCGAAACCTCGAAGATTACAACACGTTTAATGAATGCATATATTACAAAATCGAACAATTCAAAAAGCTGTTTTATATCCAATATCAAGAGCGGAATTGATAAGAGCACTAGATCCACGCATATGCATGCCAACGCGTGTTACCTTGAAGCACGTGTTTCCCTGCTTTGAGAGATCTAATCACGATCCCCAACTGCATAAATGAGAGGATCCTGACGTCAATCAACAAGCATGGCTTGACTTGTAAATCATTGCTAGAGTCAAATAGCGATTTACAGCACAAGCGCGTGCTGATCCTCTAAGATCTGCTGCACGGGCTGAACTCCTTAAAAGCTGCAGAAGTAACGCCTTGATACTAGATAGAATCTGAAGAAGTTGCAGGCGAAGTTTTCTCGAACCAAAGAGTATTAACATCATTTGTCTAGTATAAGTAGTTCGACATGAGCTGAATGGATCAAGACGACCGCACCTGAACTTGAGCAGGAAGAACTACAGTCACACCGTGAATGCTCTGATCTGCAAAAATCTCCTCCAAACCTTCCTCTCCCCACTTGGCCTGCACATCTGGTGAGAAGTCCTTGCATAATAGTGCTCCTTCCATCGCCACTTCCTGAGATCCCGGGCAATTTTAGGCCATGTGTCGGAAAGAAGTCGACTAACCAGAACTGAATTTTCTATCAAACTCTTGGCTTTCAATGATCACAAAAAGATTACTGCCAGGGCTTGTTAACAGTAAATGTGGAAATGTTGCATCAAATGATCTCTGACTAGATTCGAAGCGACATTGATAAGAGAAGGTAAACCTGAGATCGACTCCAAACAACTCGTAGCGTGGCAACATCAGTTATAGCTCTGAATGTGGGCACATATTGCGAACATGCGAAGATTCCTGCTCCAAGCAGAGCGAGCCCAGGTTTCTGCTCAGCCATTGCACCTGCCTGTCAATCACAAACATTACAGTAAAAGCATCAGTAAACCATCGATGAATTTTTATCATGATCATCTCATCACCATACAGAACACCTGAACAACGCTGACTTGGCAGAGCCACGTTCAACCAAGAGCTACATCCTTTCGTATGATCGACATTCTCGAGAATTATTCTGAAGAATATACCTTTAGAGCACTAGATTCATACACATTCCTTTGGAAACAGGAATTTGATCTCTTTGACACAAAGAAGTTTTAACAATTCGGATCACATGCACGCACGCCCACATATCCCACTCTCAAAATTCCTTAGAAAGTGCGGCATTTCTGCTACACATCAACGATTCGATGGTGATCGAAATGCAGCGCGGAGGTAAGTCAAGTTGTCTAACAAGCACAAAGAAGCAATGCCCTGCCAAATATTTCATGCCCTCAAACAATCACGATTAAACCCATCATTGGCTCACTGACTGAAATCTCGAACATTCCCCGACCAAAAGCGCAAGAAAAGTCAGGTTCCGAACGACCAAAAAATTGCGCACCTTGACAAGATTCAAACAACCACGCTGTTCACGATGCTCAGCCGCTTGGTCACACAAGATGGCAGAGGAATCAGCTTCCGCAGCTGTGACGCTTCCTTCCTTCGTTGCTGCTGGCCTTTGTGAAGCGAGCGCAGAGCGGAACGGAGGAGGCACGAGATTCGTCACGCCCTTCGCTGCATCACCTGGTTTGCAGCGCGGTTCCGTATTCCTTCTCGTCGTTTCTGCAGCTTCGCGTGGTTGGTTCTCCGTGCGTGGTACGGTAGCATCAACGAATGATGCCGAATGGCACGATTTCTGCCAGCGCAGTTCGGACAGTGCGCCACGCCCTCCACGGCAGGGCTCCTGGTTTGTAAAAGCGTGAGACGTTTGACGCGACCAAATGCTCTGTGCGGAAATTTTCGCTATATTTTCGCTATTCCTCACTCTGTATCTGTCGTATCTTTCTCGCAATTCTTGAACCATCTCCAGCAGTCGCGAGAAACCGCGCCATTGTCATGGAATGACATAAACAACCATCCTCCGCGTTACTTGAACTACTTCCCACCTCTCTCGCTAGATTGGTGGATGGAGTTCATTTGAGTCCGAAATGCACGACGCTCCCATCGTTAAGCTGTCACAAATCCAAGGGTCTAGAACACTTGAGTTCACACATGATCTGCAGTTTCCAATTCGTCTCAAATCAGACGTTGTGGTGTTTATATTTTTATTCAAGCTATAAGGAGATTTTATAATTGCTGCTCATTTCGCAAAGAAATTTTCCATGCAGCTCGGAATTTCATAAGTGTTTCTCTACTTAAATTCAATCCAGTTTGATATCGTAAAAATCTATAACCTAAAAAAAATTAAAAAAATTTTGGAGCCTTCGAGTGTTCATAAGTGAGCTTAATTATAGGATATTTTAAAATAACGTTAGACTAAGAAACCGATGGAATTTATTTCGTGTTTTCAGATCTATGAATTGACTTCGTTTATTTTCGAAATAATTATTTTTTATAGATTACCAATTTTTATTATTTATCTGTGTGATTTTTTTTGGGAAGGGGGTATTAAACTTATTGATGTTTCTATTAAATTACCACATTTGGTAATAATAACTTGTATTTTATTTTCTCACTAATTAATTTTTTAATCATGGGTACAATGCCATCCTTCCTTTTGTTAATGAAGGAAGAAACATAGGTTCAAGATTCCCTGAAAAAATTCCTTCATATTCATTACATCACTTGGGTAATCTCAGAGAAACTTAAAGATTAAACGTGTGTGTGTATATATATGTCCTGAATTTCGTATCTACATTGAGTACACAAAGAGAACGTCAAGAATACTTATCAGCATCCCGGTCTGTCGCTGGTCCATTACTGATCAGCAAGAATTTTAGATATTGCTCTCTTTTCTCTTATGCTGAACCCAAATGGCCAATATATGCCAGTTTTCAACCTCTTAAAGTGTCATGCATGTTGATAGAAGTGAACAACAGGTCTCCCAGTGGAAAATTCTCATCTTAGTGCAGCAGTAGACAGAGAATGGGGACCCAGCACCCTCCATTAAAGCACATGAACTCTTAGTTTTGTCGAGCTTTACTCTATTTTGGTAGGGTAAGGTATTCAAGCTAATCTATCCTTGCATTGGGTAGATGAATCTTGTCAACATGCAAAAAGCGATGACAATACCGACCAGTGTCACGGACATTATTGGAGAGACGGCCAAAAGGGGACAACTAGATCTATTTATGTTGGCCTCTTTGTTCCAGTTGTGCTGATGTGTCGCCATTCTGAGAGCATATGTAAGAGCACACAGTGCCACTCACTCCTTGTAGTGACACGAAGAATGAAGAGATCTGATGCTGCTTAGGCCGTACTTCGGAGCCATGGCAAATCGAAGCTTTCTGTGGCTGTCGACAGGACACCCTAATGTGGTTTCCAAGGGCGCCATATATACTATCAAGTGACAAACGGAGAGCTAGAGCAAGCAAAATACGCGAGTCCACCTAGCATTGCACGGATGAAACAATGGAAAAATAAATACGATATCCAATGACATCACAAGCAGAAATATCCAAACTTTCGAGTTGAAAACATCCCAAGAATCATGATCTAAAGTCATTGTTTTTCATGTATTGTGATAGTTATTTCTCTTAGTATAGCAATACAAACACAATATTAACATAGATTATTCAGTAGGTTATAGAGAATGATATCTCATTTAGTCTAGTACGGTCAGATATTGTGGAGGCTCTTATGAACATGCTAAACGTGTGCATCAAGTTCGTCGTTCCATATTACTTCAAGTCTAATTTATAATAGAGGTATATTCGAAAGTCATATATTTAGAATTTCAGTTTTTTTTCTCTGCTCATCGCCATCCTGGAGTATGGATAATCATCTGATCTGAAAGACTGTTCTTTAGGATTGGTAACCATCATGTCTAGAACACTAACTTAGTCCCTCCAAAAGAAAGAATTGTTCTGCCATAATCCCAAGTCTAGTAGAAGGTATACCAACATTTTTTTTTTCAAGCAATGTATATATCCACTCAAGCGTTTCAACAAACATCATATCCTTAATATATAATGAAGTTCATTTTGATTGCACAAAGTCAATATGCACAACATTCTAAATAAGAATATCAATATGGAAAGCAGATTTGATTGTCTTCATCACTACTTCTTGAGGTAGCATCATATGCAACCAAATCTTATCTTTAAAATCTCATACAGCACCAAAAGAACAAAACGAACATTCAGTCAGTTTAGATGCCAAATTTTATCTTATGGAATCAATAACAAACGTCGTGGTCTAAAGGGCATAAAGCAATAGGGAACAGCTGAAAACCTCACAGATGTTTGCAAGAAGTTGAAACACAGAAGTTTTTAAGAGATAAGGTAGTAATTTTCAATTGCTGTAATAGTTCAATCTAAATGCTTTTTCGAAATATTAGTGTTAGCATTTACAGATCGGCAAGTAGGGTGATGAAATGCGTCCATTTATATGTTAACAAGTAATCGTCTTTTCAAACTTTTGGATTGATTCGGGTTGTGTCGTCAACATAACACAAAACACTTTGTATTATTTATCTTTGCATTTTTCTCTAAAAGTCAAGACGTGAGACTGCAATGCTTATATATATATATATATATATGAGTAAGTTAGGCATGTAGATAAATGTAAAAAAAGAAAGATTATTTAATGCATTCACGTCATGTGCAAAGACAGTGAATTACTAGGTCACCTAGCAAAAGACCGAATGCAAATGGTGGAGGGTTGAAACGAAAGTGTGGGATGGGCTAGGTCCCAACATCATCACAACGGATGGATCATCATTTAAGATTAATTTAACCCAAACCCGTACCTCATTCTCACAAGTAACGAGGATGTGGATTCAACATAAAACGGTGAGTCAAAAGTCGCTTATGCAGGCTGGAGCCAACAACCACATCCCACGTAGGATATAGCACATGAAGGGTCATCATTTTTTTCGACTAGATTGCATATACACCAGCAGATGCTATGAAAATATGGTGTGCAAGTCAGACGGTTTCCTTGATCATGAAGGCACCTCCAACGTCAGAAAAGTCTATTAGGAATCATAATTGTGTGTCAAAGTTTCTCTTTCACTGATCCTCTCTAAAATCAGAAACTGCCGAGCCACTCGCACATTTTTTCATCAAATCAGGGCGATGATGTGTGACCTTGGAGTCAAACATCGCATGCTCTCGGTCATGTGATCAAACATCGGGCAAAATCTGGCCACCATGGTCGCCAGCCTGATGCAGTTGTCTGAAAAGTTTTGTCAATCGTCATAATCCAAAAGTGGACCCCCGGGTCAACATTGATCTGCAGTGACCTCGAGCCATTGCAATCGGTTTCGGCTGTTTCACACCTTCCTCAGTTATCCCTGCCTGTAAGTCCCATCATTCTCAAGATTCTTCAGATGATAGTGAGGATCAGAGATTTGAGGGATTTGTGTGCTGTCCCTTTGGCGGGTCTTCAAAATCGTAAGTACACGGAACCTGGACGTCTGCACTGATTCTTCGGCCTAACGGCAGATAGACACAAAAGAAAGCGTGTTCCATGGCAGTCTAGAGTCCCAACTGGCTGACACACCGATCCGAAGTATTGTTACATGTCTTTGATCAACACGGTCCGAGAGCACTCTCACCTTTTACAAGCTTATGGTAATGACACAGAAGAAACCAAGGTGCAGAAACAAAAATCTGACTTGCGATTAACGTTTGTTTCACGCATCGCAGACAACGTGGATGAGAAAATATCAGTTGAGGTGCCTTCCATACAGAAAGCAGCGAGGACATGTGGAGCATGGAAAGCAGATGCCCATCTGTTCAAATTCGGATTAATCACAAGCGCCGTGCATACTTACGAAGTCCTATACTGTACTGCGAATGAATGCCGTCCATTCAAGATAACTTTCACCGTGGTGGCTTGACTCGCAATTATTCGATAAGGCTCCTTGCAGCAGAGGTCGATAACTGAACTGTAGACCTTAGGTATGGTACAAGGAGAAAAGCTCGAGACCAAGGGCCTCCCCATGCAGACGTGAGTACGCCATAGCCTGTACGGTAGCCTGGACGTGGGGCAGGCTTATTTGCTCAAAGTGGAAGCGGATCATCACCACCGGTGTTCAATCGGGTAAAGCCCGCGGCATCAAACTGAATGGAATAAAGAGGATCACTACAAAGCATGATGATTTTTAAAGCCTCTTTTGCTCGAACTAAACATACTTCTTATGCTCGTTCTTTGGTTAGATTATCGACATCATATCTATTTTCATAAAGATGTGGAAGTGTAGTGTCATTATAGGGCACGATGATGTCTAAAGCTTCTTTTGCACAACATAGCTAACTCCGTGCAAGATCTGGTAGATAGTTGAAGTGGCTCTCACGAACTTCGACCTGCTTTGCTTCCATTTGAATTCAGAAGCACATAAAGTACCAGGGCAAATGACTTTACAAGAATGTGATATACATGCTCAGTACAACCTCTGCTGCTCATTACTCTCACATCAAGATGAGAAGACCACCCACTCAGCAGGCCGTTCAAACCGTCCCATGGTTATCGAGAGAACACCTCATCTTGGTTTTGGTCATGATACGAAGTATGCTCGGGCACGTAATTGGTGACAATTTTTCATCAAGTTTCGAAGGGTTTTGCTTTCCTTTACTTAGCCAAGAACGTGATCGATAGGAATTCTCCAACGTGCAGGATTTAGCTCTTGAGGCAAATGTATCAATGCAACCAGCTCGTGGATCCTGGTACGTGGCAGGCACAGAAGAAGCATGTCGGTATTTGGTTCCAAATCCGATAGAGAAAGGGTCTGACTTCTGGTTGTGAACTCGTAGTCCTGTAGGAAGAATCTCCGCTACTTCGCATCGTTGCACTTTTTGCTCGGAAAGTTTTTGCATGCTAGCCCACAAGTGCCCACTGCCCTCTGCTATTGTCAAACCTTCTGACATGCATGACATTGCAAAGTTTTTACTCTAGGTGATGCTACAGTGGGCAAATACCAACAAGCCGGCATTGTCATCATAGGGCACGATGATGTCTAAAGCTTCTTTTGCACAACATAGCTAACTCCGTGCAAGATCTGGTAGATAGTTGAAGTGGCTCTCACGAACTTCGACCTGCTTTGCTTCCATTTGAATTCAGAAGCACATAAAGTACCAGGGCAAATGACTTTACAAGAATGTGATATACATGCTCAGTACAACCTCTGCTGCTCATTACTCTCACATCAAGATGAGAAGACCACCCACTCAGCAGGCCGTTCAAACCGTCCCATGGTTATCGAGAGAACACCTCATCTTGGTTTTGGTCATGATACGAAGTATGCTCGGGCACGTAATTGGTGACAATTTTTCATCAAGTTTCGAAGGGTTTTGCTTTCCTTTACTTAGCCAAGAACGTGATCGATAGGAATTCTCCAACGTGCAGGATTTAGCTCTTGAGGCAAATGTATCAATGCAACCAGCTCGTGGATCCTGGTACGTGGCAGGCACAGAAGAAGCATGTCGGTATTTGGTTCCAAATCCGATAGAGAAAGGGTCTGACTTCTGGTTGTGAACTCGTAGTCCTGTAGGAAGAATCTCCGCTACTTCGCATCGTTGCACTTTTTGCTCGGAAAGTTTTTGCATGCTAGCCCACAAGTGCCCACTGCCCTCTGCTATTGTCAAACCTTCTGACATGCATGACATTGCAAAGTTTTTACTCTAGGTGATGCTACAGTGGGCAAATACCAACAAGCCGGCATTGTCATCAAATTTACACAGCTCTTCCAGAAGCATCGCAGTGTCACGTGTGTACCTCGAGATTCGACGGTAAGACCAGATTTCGTGAGGTCTCGGATTCTCAGTAAGCACGAGCCAAGGTTCCATCTGCTGTATGAGTTTTCTTGGTGCTCAGGTAAGTTCCAACACCGTGATCAGTGGGTTCTCTACTGTTAAAACGATTTGAAGTCCTCTTCCAAGAGCGAAGCAGATTCTCTTGCATTGAACTTGTTTCGCAGGTACATTGAAAAACGTCAATCTTTCGACCTGAGTTGAACAAAGTCCGTTTATCTTCCGAGGACATGCTTAACCTACATGGACTCAGAAAATCACGTTTTTACTTTGCCTTGGTGGAAAATACTACTACCACTTTAGATCTGGTTTCGCATGCAAAGGTGTAATTTTTCCCATCTTTCCTCTTATTGTGCATAACATTAAATCCACAGTTACGAATACAGTTAATGAGTATGCATAACAAGATGGAAGAGAGGGAAAAATTCCACTACGCGAAACAGGTTGAACGATACTCAAGTGACTTGTAAACAAGCCTACAAGGTGAGTCATGTCGAGTGAAAGTTAGGCACAAACCGCTGGTGATTTGTAAGTAGTCAAGTTGGAAGTTGAAATAAATTTCCCTTATCTAGATATTTTGTCGCGTATAGCGGATTCAATATCGCTACTTTACTACTTTGCGAAAAGGACAAACGTTTATTTATATATATATGCTAAGTATACGTCCTATCTTTATTGGATGCGGCAGAAAGATATTCTTTTGTTCTAGTACTTACTTTTATAATGTATAGGGGGAATGGAGATACTGCTTGTTGTCTCTTTAGACAAGGAGGCACGAAGGTTTTTTATGCAAAAGTATGAGAATGCTATCTGTTTACTGACAAAGGTCCAGATAAAGATATATATATATATATATATATATATATAAAAGAAGGCCTCCATTCTTTCAAAGTTATTGATTCATTGTTTTCAACATTTATATTCATTCATTTATTATGTTCTATCATCTCCTTTCAACATAGTAATGTAATTAGCAAAGTGATTGTTATTGCAGCAGACCGGACTATGGTACCTCCAACATGCCAACGGGCGAAGTCAACAGGTCCTCTGTGGACCCATCACTAGATTCAAAGGATTTTTATTTCCTTACATACAACCAGTTTTGCCTATACTATAGTGTATTCAAAGAGAAAGACCTAGCAGGACTTTCTACCAAAGAAGATTAATTTGCTGCTTAGAGGATGCAAGATGCTGCTGTCTTCTCAGTGGACCTGCCCGAGACTGCCCCTGTCAAAACATGTGAACTCTCCATAGCCTCCGAAGCATCGCAGTCTAATATGCTCAACTCAGTTCACCACATTGTTTACGCGAGAGTCTCGAATGTCAGAAACCCATAATCTTCTAGAGTCTTGACTATCGCTGCGACTTCTGCGGTCTGCATACTCAGTTATAACCTTTTAAAGTCAATTGTGCAGTGTTCGTACTCCCTGTGATCTACAGTTGTGAATGCACCCCGTCTCTATGCCAGAAACGATTGCCCATTCTCAAGCCTTGTGTGATGGAGTGAATGTGTGCTTCATGCACATATGGTGGGATTGCATTTATAAATATAGCATCTTTGGAGCTTATTGTTGGAAAGGAGATTTGTCATCCACGCACATACGACAATAAAAATACTGTGCCAAATTGTTGTAAGAACTATTAAAGGCACTTAGCTCTTCAGTAAGCAAAGTGCATTTGCCCTCCCTTTAAGCATCAGATAGATTCTTTTCCATTGATGTTTGGAGGCATGACAATTTCGACTAAGACTGTCGAGAGTGCCAGGTTCGTCTGAGAATTTCCCTTCCCCTATCAGATCCTACATGGCAATGAAGCTGATGATGTAATGTTTGAGCAATGCCAGATGCAATGACTCAAATTTAGAATGATATAGGGAGTAAATGACAACGACCAAAATATACAGTTCTTTCACTTCCAAATATAAAAGTGGCATATACAGTCTATAGATTAGGTCGGGTACCTGTCAGCTTGAGTTTTAGCATGAAGAATGTGCCAAAAGAGAAAAGAAGAAAATATGCCATCTCAATAATATGCAGTGGGCCTAAGATCACACTCTCATCATCATTTCAAAAGGATTATAAATGATTTTTTTTTAAGCAGACATCTCAATCCGACAAAACATCTAGTGATTTCAACTTTTTTTTCCTCTTATCCCACTATCCAACTGTATAGATCACAGCTGAAGTCACTGAATATGTTTTTTTGTTATTCATTGTACCTAGTGATGACTATGGATGTCAATACAAATCTTCTATAAAATTACATACCTGAAGATTTCACGAAGATGGGATTGACAATCACAAGGTTTTGAGTTTCTTGATAGGATGAGAAGATCAACTGCAACACAGCCACAGCTAAAACTTCTGTGAGGGCGACCACAGTATGAAGCAGGTGTAATTAGGTTCAGATATATCGAGAGGACGGGGTCACAGTAAAAGAATGAAAAGATTACAGTATACATCACACATGTAGAATGCTTCCGAGCGCTGAATTGCTCTGATTCAAAAATCCTGCACACCAGCTCTGATCGAGGAGATGGTGACGATTGTCGTTTAAGCTCCTTGAAATGACATAAGATGACCTTTTACAGTTTTCCACTACTTGACTCGTGCCCATTTGTCGCTGGCTAACGATGTAGACCGACCTAGTTTTACCTCTGACAAGCACTTTTGCAGCACGTGGAAATATGGGACTGGTCCTCAAGCCAATGACCATACGAACATGTCTTCATGCAAAACATGGTTGTCAGGTAAAACAACGAGAAATTCTGATTGAAGCTGCAAGTCTAACCCATGCTCCGATCGAAAGACTTGAACCTGGACAGAAAAGGTATCTGCCATGATGATCAATATTGCCGCCCTTTGCCTTATCTTTTTGTTCTTACCCATAGTGCTGAGTGCACCGCCAAGTACTTTATAACCCAAGATCATTTGGTGGAAGGAATCTGGAATCGTGGAGGAATCATCACGTTACCATCACATCACACCACCACTAGTGAATTTGCTGGATTTTACCATTGTGCCAAATCAGGCCACCTCTCTTCTTCCCGTGACCTTGCATATTATAAATCCAAAAACGAACCGATGTTGAGAGTTGAGGTAGTAATGCATGGCTCAACAATTGCGGTATACTGTTTGCCTAATTTACTCTTTTGGAAGATATGACGTTCCTGAAAATATAGACAGCGACAAAGGTTGGTACCTGGATTCTAAATTTATCTCAAAGAGGAATGGGATATACTATATATGGGATATTGTGGAATGGGAACATATATATATATTTTTCAAGAAATTAGTTTAATCACTGAAATACTAAATATATTGAAATTATAATCTGTTTTCAATAACATGGAATTGACTAGACTGCTAGATACCACTGATTTCTTTACTATCACAACCCATGTTGTAGCCACTTAGTAGATAAATACTAATGTGAAGATGAGACACATTAGTAGAGCCAAGCAGTTAGCGCTGAGCGCATTCAACTTCTCCATATGTCCCTTAGCTATTTTGATACGTAAATCCAAAGGGTAGATTTTCAATCAGTACGATTTCCAATCAGTACCCTTTGGATTATGATATGGAGTTTTCCTCACTTGTTACACTCTATTATTGCCGCTTTAGAGAATGAGGCTATGATAGAGAGTAGCTAAAGCATGATGAAAATGGAGAATTTGAGTAAAAAAAATTGGCTTAAATGTAATATTATATTTTATGCCATAGTGATTTTTTACATGTGTTATGGACATTTTGAAGGTCATATTACAATGTTTTATATGATAGTAATCAATTTCCAATGAGCTGGATATCATCTGTTGCAAACTCAAGATGAATATAAGGCCAGAGCAGAGTTGTGGAAAACTGATTTGCATGGAGAAAATGTGTTATAAGATTAAAGGTTCTTAAGCTTTTGAGTTAAACAATGCAACTTATGAATTCACGAGAATGACGGAAAAGATGTTGACAAAAATGAATTGCTTCTGAGCCTACGTTCAATTCAAACTTATGCATAATTTTACAAAATTAAAAAATTAAAATTATTTGGGGGTTTAATCTGAATAGTTAATCGTTTATTGGATCAAAGCAAATTTTGTAAAGTTTAAATTTCTCAAGTAGCATGTGGATTATCTTCTTAAGCCATAAACATAAGAGGATTGAGGGTTGATAACCTTTCAAAAGATAGGTTATACTACGCATTTTACAACCAATAATTTTGAGCATTCCTTGGACTTGCAAACTTTCAACATCGATATGTGCGACTGTTTAGCACTTTTGCTAGAGCTTTGACAAAATCGACAAAGCTAAATCAAGAGTGACATGAAAATAAAGAGTAAGAAAGGAATCTTTTTGTTGATTTTATGGCATAATTGACATCTATCACTAATTTGAAGAGATTCGAGAAAGGTAATATTTTCAAATACCTAATGTTTGAAGTATGTTGGGTTGAAAATCAATGCTTCTCCAACACTATGATGAGTAAAAAACAATATGTAGTGATTTATGCAATCCGATTCAAGAAATTAAAGATATTTGAAATATAATTATTATGACGCTTAGCGTTTGGAAATTTTTTTAAGAGCCTCACATTTCAAATTTTATATATTTTAACAAAATTTCATGTTCATAGTTGATCATCAATCATTAATATGATGAATGCAATTATAGAAGCTTACATGAAAGCTTTCACAATAATCTTTGATTTTAACAATATATGTTTTCAATTTGATTTATAGACATAGGATGAGAATCTTTTGACTCATACATTGATGTTAGGTCAACATTTTTGTAATCGTCAAGTTGACAAAATTGAAGCTCAATGACATGATAATACAAATTAAAATATGGGGATGGGTTGGATAATACATATGATCTTTTCAGTATATTGATGTTTTTTTATTTACATTATTTCTCTTTCAAGTAAAAAAGTGAATAGATTATAATTAAAAACTGAAAATGAGATCAAGTTTATAGAAAATTGAGAATTTCATGATGATAGATGATGTAAAATTGCATTCATATAGTTGTTATGATATTTATTTTGAGTATCAAGAAACGAGAAGAAATTGTACAATTAGTTCAACAGTTTGTATGATAAGCTTGACATCTTGTGTAAGTGTGTAGGACTGATGTTTGTCTAGTATGACTATTATTTCAGAGCGCATATATCGTGAAATGTGACTAGGAGAAGTTAAATCATTAAAAGTGAAGCTAAAGTTTGCTTTCATGATTATTATAGATTTAGAGACACGTAAACAAAGTTGTGATAGTTTGTGAATAGGCAAAATTATGACTAGATGTCCGTTATGTGATCGTGATTGAGTAGTATTTAATGTTTTTACATCACAATTATATTTTATATATAAGACTCTTGCTTTATTAAAGTTTAGATCCATATGATGAACATTACCACATAAACAATATGTGTTGTTTTTAATGGAGCATTTACACATATGAATCAGATTGATAGCATTGTTTGAAAAATCAAAAGAAGTCACATTGTGCATATTTGACATAAATACCTAGCAAATTTGATGCATTTGTAGATTTCTCCAAGATCTCACATGTCTCATCACATAAATTTTATTACCTTCCTGAAGTGATAATTTTTCTTTAAGATTATTACAAATAACACTAATGATAAATATAGCATGAACTTATTTACAATTGAGCTAAACCTAATTTGACCTTTAGAGACTTTAGGTTTAAATGTTAGCTATCAGCTATTAGAGCCAAGGTCTCAAGGGTTTTACGAAAAACTACACTCCACTGAGGTATTTTAAAATCTTGATACCCGGAGAATCTAAGAGTTGTGCACGATTTATATGATCATGTGATAACATTTCATATATAAGACCAAGAAATCCATCCAGCTAACTTTAACATGCCAATTGTTATCTAAAGACGTTAATCTTATGTCATAACACGTCAATGCTTTGTACTTAAGAAAACGTGAGTCACTGCGTTTCACAGAGAAAAAATATTCAGAAGACACCATCAAGCCATGTAGGGAGGAAACCGATAGAATATGATAGAGCTAGGCTCCAATATCTTTAGAATGAGAAAATACTAGATTGTATCTAAGATATCCATATAAACTCTAATGATGAATATTTTACATACTGAAATCGTCATAGCTCTTTGTCAAGCAGGGCAAACATCACATAACTAAAATCACTAAACAGTTAAACTCTAATCTAAAGGCCGCAACTCTATCTATATAAATGCTATGCGCTTGTGATAACACCGATACTTCATGATTCGGCCAATTTACACTGTACATTCGAGATACTGTTGTTATCCATAATCAAACCACCAGAAACCACCACCAACTGTATAGTGTACTGCTGTAGACGGTCATCCCACTTCCAGTCCATTACTGTCCCAGCTCCTGACTCAAATGAATATCTAAAAGCCGAATAGTTGGCTCCAGTAGATTGGGAATGCTTTGGGGGCGAGTAGGGTCTGTAACCCAAGTCCGTAGAGGTTGAAGTTTATCCTTCGCCGAATATGAAATATCATTGTTGTCTGTATCGGTGATTTATCAGGCCCAAGGTATGAATCGCTTGGGGTTATTGATGTACACATTAATTTGTTACGGACCAAGTGAGGCGTGGCGCCCTCTGCAAGAGTTGGCTGGCTTTTGAAATAACCTTTCGCAATCAGCCTTCTAAAGAGGTAAGATTTTGCATTTTGGCCTCTTGCAGAAGCTGCTGACTAAAACAACCTTTGGAATCAAATAGAGCAGATCTGATGGAAACTAGTGCTATAAGCCTTTTTTGCCTACGACAGAAAGAGAGAGGGGAGTAGAGGCTGGCCCCCTGCCGAGGACACGGCCCTGACTTAATGTGACTCAAGTCTTCCGCCACGTCAATTTTCACCTGACTCGTGCCTTCATTCGTTCTTTGTAGGAATCAAAGAGAATGTTCTTGGACGATACTGCATGAAAAAGTGTAAGGCTCGGCATATTAAAAATGGAAAGAAATAAAGTCGAGAGAAATATGGATACATAAAAGTACAAGAGTTCATTATAGGATGGAGGGAGTACAATTAACGGCCGACATAATGTAAAGGGATGGAGAAAAGGAGATGCTACGCTGCGACTGAGCAAAAGCAAAGCTTATGCTTTGCCTCATCAGCAACAACTTTGCGCGTACTTCAAGGAAAGAGTGATGGCAGGGAGAAATCACGGCACCTCCTGGTTAACCTCTAACCAAAGTTAACCAGGGGCACCTGATGAACCTGTCAACGCCGAAGAAGGACAGCGCCAGATCCAACCAAACCGCCGGAAGTGGCAGTCCAGTCGCTTTTGAGAAACTCGGCCATCTCCCAAAGACAGATATCACCTGCAGTACAGTACATACACAATTCCAGATCTCAAATTAGGACTGGTAACGGGGATTTTCTCCGATGGTAATTAAGCCCGCCCCCGAGCGCGTCGGACCCACCGCAGGAATGGGTATCTCACCCAGCGTCGGTACAGTTTTCGCGCGGTGCTGCAATCTGCTCTCCAAGGGATGCATGGATAACTTCAAAGACCGAGATAATTGTTGGTCATTCTGGCCACTGGGGATTGGTGTCTCGGTCTTGGAAGTTATCCATGCATCGGGAGGCCGGACTGAATAACAAACAATTCAAAGCTTCTATGGATATTAGACTCACCGGTGTACTGTAATAACCCTCACGTACGGCAAAATTTTGCAGTGGCCTACCAAAGAGCTCGGTGCTCGGGAGTCAGTCAGAGGTGACTAGCGAACAGAAGTGTAAAAATGTAGGAGCCAGCGGAGTAAGAAAGTGATTCGCAGCGGAATGACTCAGCTCATGACAGGCGTGCCAACCCTCGGCGAGCACAGGAAGTCAAAGACACCCGAGAGCCAGGCGACCGAACGAAGCGCCTCGCGGAGACGACAGAAATGAGCCCGGCATTGGACCGAGAAACTTTCGGAGCGGCGGGTGCCAAGTAAGCACAGGAGAAGGCAGAAGGGGACGACGAAGGAAGGAAGCAGCCGGGCAAGGAAGAGGGCGAACGAGCGAGAGAAAGAGCAGCAGCAGCAGCTACAGAAGCGCCAGCGGGCACGGAGAGGAAGAAGCGCGCGGGTGAAGCTTTTTGGGAGGGTCAAGGAAGATTTGAGGGCCTGTGCGAGCGAGGGAGAGGCAGAGAGTGGGGAGAGAGAGAGGAGACAAGTCGAAGGCGGAGGTGAAAGGAGGAATTCCGATGCAAGTCCATGTCCATGGATGACGAAGAGCTGTAGCGGTGGTGGTGGTGGTGTGAGGAGTGGTAGGAGCGGAAGGCGGATGAGTTGCAGGAGTGGAGACGAATCCTGAAAAGGAGCGAGCAGGAAGGGAGGGGAGGAGGATGAGGAGGAGCTAAGGTGGAGGCGGAGGGGGAGGGAGGCAGGGCTCGGAGGAGGTGGAGGAGGAAAAAGACGGGGAGGGGAGAAGGTCAAGGGCAGCAGCAGCAGTATCAGCGGCGCGTACCCGTGGGCGAGGCCAGGGCCATCGTTTGAAAGAATTGCGTGTGGGAACGACGATTGAGATTGAGTTCGTCCGGCCGGTGTTGGTATTTCTATATCTCTTCGTTCGAGACATCGTTGGCGGCTCCGAGGAGATCTAGCAGTGTCTCGTATCAGTCCGGTGCTCGTAACGGAGAGGATTGTACCCAAGACAAACCCTAAACAATTCTCTTTGCTGCGTGCCAATTGGTTCGGTTTTTCATATCTACATCCATCGACCTACCTTACCCGACCTTTCCTCTCCTTTTGATCTTCTCCACCTCGGTGACTCCTTCGTTTCGACCTCAGGACGACCTTCGTGGTCTCATCTCGGTCGTGTCTGGTTTCGGAAGGAAAGTCGGAGTTTATACCTCATAAGCGGCGTCAGGGGTTTTTCTTTGTTCCTGATCTTGGTTTGGCTTGGACTCGCCGCGTGGATTGGAGATTCGTCAATTGATAACTGAGACTGCCCCCCTCAGTCTGTAGGCAATGTTTGCTGTGCTACAACGATCATACCTGCGCTGCTTTGGAGCTTTATTGCCTGATTATTTCCTGCGCTTTGCTGGTCAGGCTGAGTGAGAAGTTCTTAATATTAGTCTCTGACCGACTCATATGCCTAACCTCCTTTTACACATACCTTACTAGTCGGCAACACCGTGCGTTGGACCGGACGCATCCTACGAGAGGCCGTTTTGGCCAGATTTGCAAATCTCACTGTCTTGACTTCGAGAACTCATTTTTGCCGCGAACTTTTGCTACAACACTGGCCTGGAGGTGGGAAGAAGATCTGACTACTTCATGCCGGCAGCGATTCTTGGGATCGGTGCAGATTATGTTTCGGTGCAATCCGCCGGAACGTGCCGAAAATGGAGTTGTTGAAACAAGGTGTTTGAGGATATTTGATCATTTCGTGACGGATTTGTTAGAGAGTCAAAAGAACAAAGGACAGGAAGTTAGTGAGACTATTGTTGCTTGAGCATGCCTCCTCTGGCAGCGGAGGCAGGATTGGCCAGCAGGATTGTGAGCCACAAAGAAATCATGCTGTCGCTAGCGGGACTCTCCCTTCTTCTTCTCACTCTTCTTCTTGGAAGGGTGAGCGCCACCGTGGTCTTGATGACGTCAACGAACGAGACTCTTCAATTTTCGGATATGGAATCTAGCTTCGGTGAGCTTTCTGCCCAGGTTGACCGTCTCAGCGATGCCTATTTGGATTGTTTCTTGTCAGCGCCCGTACCATGCGATGATTTAAAGCCTTTTGCACTGGCTGGCGGTGACCCTTAGTTGTGTTCGTTCTTTGTTTCTATCCTCGATTTGTGCTTTGTAGGCTCCTTTGTTTTGGGTTTTGGAGGTCAGGTTTGAGTTTGTCTCTTATTCAACATGGGCATGAGTGTAGGGGATTTGCAGTATCCTTTAGATCCATCCACATGTATGGGCTCTTGATTGTGGGTTTCTCGCTGGGGTGTCCAACCGTACACATTCGAGTCAGTTGTGTGGGACTTCTCTTCTCTTCGACAGTATCTTTGTATCCTAGTGTTGTACTGAAGCCTTCCACCAGTGTCGAATGGAAGATTGGTTTCTTCTCTGATAGCTGATAGTGTTGAACAAACATTCTGTCGTTTTAGATGCTCATTGCTTTCCCTACCACCATTGGGTTGTACTGATTTTTGTTCAACCCTCACGGAAGGAGTCTTCACATCTACTTTGCGGCATAGTTTCAGATCATGGATCATAAATCTGAACTGGCAACATTCAATGCCTCCTGTGCAGTTTTTCACTCCTACGCTGAGATTCAGCATAGGAGTAAGAAATTAGAAGCGGATTTGGAATCCTGATGACGCTCGATTGACCCATTTATCTACAAGTCAGAAGTGCAGTCGCAGGAGAATCATCGCTTACGTGTTTGCCGTGAGCTCATCTGATCTGGATATGGAGCTTTGACTAATATTGTTCTGGATGTGGGCAGCATAAAGCTAACAAACCGGATTCTTGTCAAACTGCAGCTGCGAGAATACCTGCAGCGGGAATTCTTGGAGTAATCTATGCCGCTGAACCCGCCAACGCTTGTACAACACTTACAAATGCCCCCATTCCAGAGAGGGGTTTATTCTCATCGTTCGTCGTTGTAAGTCGGGGTGATTGTACTTTCGAGAAGAAAGTACGAGTTGCACAGGCTGCAGGTTTTCACGCGGTCATTGTGTACAACAACGAAGACAACCATGATTTGGTCACAAGTGAGTAATATTTATGGGCCTCTATGTAGAACCGTCATTACGATGCTAAAGGCGAAAACAATATATCTAACCTGTTAAAGATCTGATCCTGGCGCAGCTGTTATGCTCATTTCTGAAATTACACTACACCATCCAGTGTGCTGATTGTAAATTACCGTCTGGCTCTTGGATCAGTGTCTGGGAATGGTGCGGGGATACGAATTCATGCTGTGTTCGTTTCGAAATCTTCTGGTGAAGCTATCTTGAGCTTTGCCGATGACGTCGGCACCAGTTGCTACATTCGGCCAGCTTTCGAGAACACAGCGTGGTCAGTCATGGCTGTGTCATTCATATCACTTCTTGCGGTGGCGGCCGTTTTGGCGACATTCTTTTTTGTTCGACGTCATCGACTGCGCCATCTGGGCAATAGATTACTTCAAAATCGAGAGTCCCAAGGAATGAGCTCTACGGAGGTGAAGGCCTTGCCAATCATTATTTTCAAATGTATTGGAGATGGCAATGGTACGGCGGAAACTTGCGCGATATGTCTCGAAGATTATGAACCTGGAGATAAGCTGAGAATGTTGCCTTGTCATCATGGTTCGTATTCCTACGCCCGTTATTTTCGTGATAGTTAGCCTTTGTGTACCGAGTTCGTGCTTCAAAACACTCATGCACTCACAGTTAGCTGTTCTATATCGATATCCGTGTCTCAGAAAATTCCTGCATTGTACACGAATCCTTGCATCTCACGTACAAGGAGAAGATTGCTATTCTTACTACTGTTTTGCATCACATGAGAGGTGGCACCTGAGTGCCAGGAAACATGATTTGTTTTGGTTTTTTCTTTCTTGCTAGGGTTTATTGGCCCAGAGTTTGAATTTAGCTCTTTTGTATCGTTTTTGTGGTTTTGGTAGATGTCAGTTACTAGTATCTGGATGACGCCAAAGATATAACCCACTGAAGGAAACAGTTATAGTTCTTTTTGGTGTTCGTAGTGCTCGTTCATAGAGCTTTTTCTTGTCATTTTCATGTTACTTATATGGTAATGGCGTCTCACCAATGGCTTTCTTGTGATGCAGAATTTCATACCGCATGCATTGATCAATGGCTGATGACAAGAAGACCATTTTGTCCTATATGTAAGAGAGATGCTCACACGAAAACTACTGAACCTCCAGCTTCAGAGAACACACCATTACTGGGTGCATCTATGCACCTACCTGTACCAACAGTTACATCCATTGCCGCCACTCAAACCTCCCCTAGTGGATCTCCTGTGCAATCAGGATCACGGTCCTTGGGGTTACAAACTTCACATTCATATCCAGGTCACGGAGGAGATTTGTGTTGAGTCTGATTTGTTCTCTAAAGAGCCATCTGTGTGTGACTCACGGTGCAAAACACCTTTCCTAGTGATAGCCGTGGAGTGGGACTCGTTATGTGCTGTGAGAACTATTTCTATCTCAAATGCCCTCCAATGGCTGCCAAGTCTTCTTAGACGTAATCTGTCCAGATTAGGATGAGTGAGGATTGGGGAGTGTGCATGTGAAGGAGGAACACATTCTCTGTTGTACATTTGTATTACTTACTTGAGCATCTGTAGAAAACCAAAAAAATCCACAAGGCTCTTCATGGTTTTCGGTCAAGAGAGGAAGAGCATCATATGGTAAAAATAACTGAACACACAGGTTAGGTGGCCTAATGAAGGCAATTTTAGGTGCTGAAGTCAAACCCATGTTATGTAACAGGTGTATCACCCCTTCCAGTTACCCGTCTTTCCTGCTCTTTATCCTATAAATTGCTTCTAGTTGATCAGTGGTCCCAGTCTGGGCTATTGATGGTTGTGGAAGCCGCAGCTTCTGTTTGGGGCAAGTTTGCACAACGTTTCAGTTTGGTTAAAATGTGGATAGGAGATCGATCGCCTGCTGTTGGTTGTGACCTTATCTTGCTACCTGACATTTGAAGATTCTGTCCTGAGTGGAGACTAGAACTTTGTGGTCTTGTATATAGAAGAATTATGCCTCATACTTTTGAGACATAGATTCAGAATTACCGAGGTGTGTTTTGCTTTTTGCGGAAGAATGTAGATTACCGTACTGTAAAACCTGGGTGTAGGTTTTACAAGTTGGAAAAAAGAGAGACTGGATTTTTCCTTTTATGGATTTATCTCGGAAGGTTTTAGGCCTTGGACTTTAGTGCCATAGTAAGTTCTGCTCAACATCTGTTGACCTATCAGGTCTCTTTCCAGGATGGAATCTTCGGTTCGGCTTCCAATATTCCACCACGTATCTTGAGCACTTCTTTGAATTGATTTGATAATTTGGTTCATGTGATATAGCTACTCCAGCTGATTGAATGGATTGCATATGAAGAGCTATTGTTGTGCTTCTTTTCTACATTGCCATTTATTGCCCAAGTTCGATGTGTTGTAGTCTTCTGTTCCTTATGGGTTGGGTTGTTATGATTTAACGCCTGTAGCATTGTCCATGTTTTTTAAGGGATCCTTCATTTTGGAAGACCTCTGATTGGACTTCTTTTGTGCTGAAGAAATTATAGAGCTTAGAGTTTTGGCAACAATGTGGTAAAACCTTGAAGAAGCTGTCAACGCCTCGATCAGCTTCCAGCTTGATGCGCTGGAAGTCTTTCACCGTAAAGGTGGGCAGCTACATGCATGACCTTGGCTCTTCTCGAACATAGAGTAATCTTAATATTAAAGTATTGGGTCCTACGTCTGGTTTAGTCTGTTTGAGGCATGACACGTGGTTCATCAGCGGCTGGGCTGATAGTATACAGTACTCTGGAGAGACATCGATTCGGTGATTTGATACTTGTGAGTGCTTGACAAACATGCAGTAGGGATAGATTTATTGGTCACATGCTGATCTGAGAAGAATGTTAATGCGCTGAAGTCTAGTCGGTTTTAAGGTTGTATTCCTCTGTAACAGCTGCAAGTTGTTCGACTAGGAGTTGTGGTTTTCTCCTGCATGTTACCCAGAATGCAAAGTGCAGAGGAAAGTAGGAGTATGTTGGCGAGAAGATAGAGAAACTTTCTCCCTTGATAAGTAATGTCCTTTCGCAAAGTTTTTGTATCTGAGGTGGATTTTTTCTGTGAAGTTGAATATATTAGTGAATTACGAGGGCTGTGCACTTTGAAGTGTTCAATTCTAGAGTAAAATTCATGTCTGAAGATCCTCAATCACCACACACAAACGGAAGCTAATATTGGAGTGTAAGCTGTTTTGCAACACAACGATAATATCTTGCAGTTCGTTTTTATGTGAGGATAGGTCAGAATCTGCCTCCGAGCGCTGAAAGTTTGTCTTAAACGAATTTCTAGCAAAAAATTCTGACTTCTTGAAACCACATTTGTGTAATATACCCAAAGATAGTGCAAACTCTTACGCTTCACCGCTGAAAATTATTTGTAAAATTTTTTCCCGTAAACCATGACCGGTATATATTCAATAATACTGGAGGGCTTTTTAAAGTGTCATACTGTCATGACTAGCTCACCAAACAGGAAAATGAATGACTCTGCGGCTTCAGCAGGTGATATCAAGGACTGAGATAATGAGGTTGCCAATTAATTGGGACGAAACTTGACCAAAACCGCAACCCTCGTGCAGGGAGTCCTGTGAAAGTGACGATAGAACATTGGCTCTCGTACATGGCACGTCAGCGCCTATTCACCCCACATACACTTTAGAGTTCAATACACATTGCAAACCTTAAAATTAATGAGAATATGGATCTAGACAATTGGAAAAAACGCGGATATGAACTTAGTCTGTGGTAAAGTATATTCTATCCGTATTATAGTAGTTTCAAAGATGTCTTTCCCAACTCATACAACGAAGAAAAGATATAAATCTGAATGTCAGGAATTGCAATTTTCAGCATCCTAATTGAATTTTGACCCAAGAAGGTTGAATATAACCTAGAAACTCAAGGGTTTGAACAGTTTCTAACTGAAGCTACAAACTCGAAGTGGTATCGAGACAAACTATAATATATCTGGACTCGTATTAGAGATAATGCGAATCAAATTAAAATGAGGAAATTTTGGACTGGAGTCTTCATCTGATTAATAACAATATATATTGTATTAGAATAATGCACTGAGAATTCTAGCGATCCCTAATTAGATTGTAAATCTATACTGGAACACACTATCCTGACGATTGGTAAGAAACATTCAAACATTCCAAATGCTACAATCCTCGCTCCAACTGTGATTTCAACGTAACCTAAAAATAAAAATGAACAAATTTAAGGAAGTCAATCAAGAGAAACAAGGGTAATCAATTAAGACAGAAAATTTACCTAGAATCATATTAAGTTGTATATTGATATAATCGAAGAAATAAGGTGGATTAGGACCCGACACCATCACAAATTACACGTATGAAACCAAACTACTAGGATGGAGCTAAATTCCGAAACCATTACAATTTACACTTATGTCTAAATGCTATGTAATAATGATTGTTGCATTGTCATTTTTGGCATATGAAGAAGGATCAAAATTGACGAAGAATGCTAGAAAACAAACATCATATAAACAATGTCTAAACAGAGGAAGATGACATGCAATTTAATCACAACACTCACGTTGATTGTGCATATATCAAGTGAAAAAGTCTTTATACTTTGAGAATAAATAAGTTATTTGTGAATGTGAAGTTGGAGAAGGAGGATGAACAAAGGAGAAAAGAAACTCATTATTTTTGAACATAACATTTACAAAATATAATACAAGGAATCATGAGCGAACTTTTTACGGTATATATGATTCATAATGTGAGTATTATACACTAATGAGGTAATCACATAGTCTAACAGCTATGGAAACATAAACAGAATACTCTTAAGTCAGCAATGACAAACAAAATGAATGCTTAATGATAATTTTACCTTTTGGATACTTATGTTAAGAAATGGTATATAAAATAAAGTCAAAAGACTTAAAAAAGGATTGACAATCAAAATATATTCATCGATCTTACTAGAATCAGTCTGAGATATTATCGAATATATTTTTAGCATAAGTTTATATGAAAATCACATCATGATAGACGTTACAAGGTTTTTTATGTTCAACTATTGATTCATAACTTCACATATCCAGATTGGTGTAAAAAATTGCGTGTTATTACAATTTCTATTGTAATAATCTAACTCAGAAGCAGAAATATACATTAAAATTCACTAACTAGATATAATTTTTTAAACTATCAAAGTTTCATATGTGGAGTGTAGTAATGTTTTATGAACCACTTAAATTGGAATAAAATGGAGCTAAAACATGTAACATATACGTCCACTTTTTTTCCTATATATATATATATATATATATACACACACACACACATGATCATCATTAAATCATGATTCTCTGCTAAACTCTTCAGCTTGTTGAAAAATCCAACGCATTCAATTGAATCAAATAAATCCATGATTGAACATAGAATTTAACATGTGAGACGATAGATTGCAATGCATTTTTGTACAAATTTATGAATCTTCGTATTCTAATCGTCAAACTTCCAGCACCAAGATTCAAAAGAGATTTGAATCTATTAACATTTATGCAATAAACATGTCATGCATATAAAATATTAAAATAATAAAGTGAAAAATTTGTAATTATTTTCTAATTATGGACAAAGTGATAAGTTACATGTCAAATTTAGGATTGGACACTGTGAAGTGGATCTTCAAAAATTTAAGAATACTAAACGTCATAATTTTTGTTGGATACCTTATTAAAAAATGCAAATTTTTTGCTAGATTACAAAGATGTTGATTATGTACAAGACAAGAGTCAGTTTACAATTTCATATGTGTTTATACTTGGAAATAGATATGTCGATTGGACATTTACTTTGCATAAAAATATAACTGGAGTGAAGAACATTATCTAGTTGGATAGATTGAAGCATGATGTTATTGATAGTTAAAATGTTTTAAATCTTGCAACAATTTAAATGATGATAGCAAGAGGAAACACCTGGACATCAGATTTCATTTTATGAGAGATGTACATCATATGAAAATATTCATTAAATTTAGAGATATTACATGAAAATAATAATAATTGCTCTTTACTTTTCTTAACATAAAATATATTTGTAGTAATTTAAAAAGTAGAAAGTGATTAAATCATATTTTTTTTGGAATAATGATAAGGCAAAAGAATGGGATGAAGAATTCTGTAAAAATTTGGTAAAACCTAGCAAGCTTGAGGAAGATAGAAATCCATCCAAAAAATACGTTTAGCCTTGCAGCTCCTTTCAAATCCAGTATTAATTGAACCCATGATATCAAAAGTATCGAATTAACTTGAAGACATGTTGATTCAAACATTATCACTCAGAAATTCTCTTGTTGTTTGTTTTGGCTAAATTGGCTAGCTCTTCCTAAAGTTGATGAAGTGCTTGCCTCTCCGGCAATGCACAATAACCAAGCCATAAAAACATGTCTAGACGAAAGAATAACTCGCCACGTTCAAGCTCAAGCAAAATGGAGGGCAGAGGGAGAAATCGACAATTTGAAGTATTTTTTTGACGTTGTGATGGTCAAAAGATTTGCCTGAAGCTGAAATCTCAGTTCGTATGCTTTCCTTCCGCCGTCTTCGAACTAAGGGTCAGAGGGCCTTCCCATCTCGTGCATCACTCCACTAACGGACAAGATTTCATGTATGGAACATCTCAAACGCCGGAGAGTATATTGTATTTCCCATCCACATCTCTTTCACCCGCTCTCATATGTTATATTATCTTTCCTCGCTACTTGGCAACAGAAGTAGCCCACAAGGTCCCATCGCCTGAGGACTCGCCAGCAACTAACCTTATGTGCATGATGTGTAAGCTGTGTATGCCATAAGCTTCATCTCAAATAATCTTTATCCAGCATTCCACGAGATTTCAGTTCTCACTGATTTATTTATCGAGTGTCTTTACATCAATTGTCTTGGTCACTTTCGAAGCAAACTGCTCACCATCCTCGCACGGAAATCTCAGTTTGAATTGATAACTCACACGAACTTCGTACAAATATAAGGTTTCCCAAAGTTTCCGGTTTCCCAAAGTATATCTTGTTGAAACAATTGAACCAAAATGCAAACCTCCCATGTCCGAACAAAAACCTCCATCAAAAGTTTGTATACTTTTGATATGGCAGGAGAATAAATAGTCTGGAGACATATGAACCGAAACGCACACCACAACACCGAACAAAGATAGCCAAATTATTTAACTTAAACCTAGACCGACAGAAATAATATTAGTGAAAAC